TCAGATAGAATTATTGTATTTAGTAAAGATTCTACTGCTGACTTTCAGAGATTCTCATTCTGAATAAGGAATTCAGCACTGAATTCAGGCATTGTAGTCAGAATAATGAAGTTTTCAAAGAATGATGACTCAATTAAAGCTATAACTGATTTTTGAACTTTAATATTAGTTATCAACTGAGAAAAGAACTGCTGATTAATTTCATTTCTGATTCTTGAAAATGAGATTTGAGTTTAGTCTGTTTCTTTACAGAATGTCCTGGTTTGAGACTTTGAGAATAATTCTTCTATTTCTGAAGATTTGAAAGTTTTTCTCTTTTTGTATTTTCTTTTTCACTTTTCTATGAATAGAGACATGAGCAGTATTCTTCTCAGTTTTCTCAGGATTTTAAGCAGGTTTTGAGACAGCAGATTCAGCTGCTTGAGCATATATTTTCTTCTGATACAAAGAAGAAGAAGAAGTAGGAAAAAAGAAAGAAGAAGAGCAAGATGAAGAGTCAGTGATTATACTAGGAATTTTCAAGGTTTTTTGAACTGTGTTTGAGATTTCAAGTTTGAACTTGATCATCTTCTGTAGTTATCTAGTCTGAGTATAAAGAATTAACAGAACTTCTTCATTTATCTCACTCAGACACTGCTTTTCAAGAATCTTGCTTACTTTTTCAAGTTTCTGTATTTCAAGAACTTATTATTTCTTTATTTCTTCTTTCTTTCTTCTCTTCAGAATTTCAATTTCAGAAATAGCATTTGAGAAAGCATCTTTTTTCACATCAACTGAGTGTATTTTTCAACTCATTGTTTTCACTCAATGAAAAGTTGATCAGACTGTTTCAATTGAGATATTTCTAAGTCTATTTTCAATTGAAAAGTTAGTCAGACTGTTTCAAAAGAAGAATAAAAGACTTTTGTGTATAAAATATCTGATTTTTTTCACACTAGTTCAGTAACTAGATTAGATTTTTGAAGAGAATCTAATAAACTAAAATTAATTTTTAAGATAAATCAATAAAATCTTTATAATCTCTTTCTTAAAATACAGTGAGAAAAAGTATGATATCAATTAATAATAAATCAGATAATATGACAGTTTTTGAGAGAAAAACTGACAAAAAATAAATTAATTTTTTATAGAGAAATTGATTAAAACTATTCAATTTTATTCTAAATCATTCAATTCTTCTCACACAACAAGTGTACAACTCAAATCAGTTAATAAAGAGTATAAAAAAGAATTAAGTATTAATAAAAGCTCTTCAGTCACTGAAAAAGTAATTCTTACTTAAAAGAATATGAAATTATAATAAAAAATAACTCTGTTTTTAATTCTTTGTAAGAATATTGTATAAAACTCAGAGAAAAACATCTTACTTTTTCAAGAGAAGTAAAAAACTATTTCTAAGATCTTTTTTTTTTGCATTAACTACTGCAGAAGAATGAGATAGAAACTGCTAAGATATACACTACTGTATACTCTCTATCAAGACTTTCTCTCTTCAGAGTCTTGATATTATAGAGAATATAAGTCTGTTTCTATATAATAATATAAATATTATCAGTGAGATGTAGAGAAACTGGTTATTTATATCTCAAAATAGAAGACTTTGTCAATAATTATATTAATATAGAGTTAATTCTCAAATTCAATAGAAACTTAGTATTGCTGTTCTCAATCTCTTACAGAATCTATTGAATATTGAGATATTAAAACTAGATTTAATATATCTCACTGTGCAGAGATCAAAGGCTCAGTCAGACCTTGAGATATACTGATTTTATAGTTGTTAATATGCTGTTGACTTGTTATTCACTGATTATGTATTAAATGCTGTTACTGAGGTATCTTTTTATATCATTCTGTCAGAGATGAGCCAGATTGAGAGAGGTAGTACAAGGGTGAGACTTGGTGTTGAAGTCTAGATACACTGGTAACAGATCATGAAGGTTACACTTCAGAAGAGTCTGTTGATTATATGCTTGATATTATCACTGAGGTATCTTTTTGTATTTTTCTGCTGGGGATGGGCCAGATTGAGAAGGGCGGTATGAGGGTGAGACTTGGCATTGATGTTTTGAAACATCAAAGATGAACAGGGTTTTCGCGGAGGTCGCTTCTCAGATATCTCCACAACTACAGATTGAGGATCTTCCAAAATTGAGAAGATTGGTGCATATGACTAGGTCACTTCACCTTACAATTTGTATGGCACTCTGGCCCGGGGTTGTGGTGTGGTAGGGGAGAACAGGGGATAATCCCACACAGGAGTTTTGAACAATGTCCGGTTCACATTTGGCTGGATAACTCCACCACCACACAGGGTATGCAGTCAGTGATGGGGTCAGAATGCTCATATGATCAAGGGCTTTTCGATGGATCTATCGGCGGGTTCTTATTCGAAAAATCGAGCGAGTTCGTGGTGGAGCGGTCGATGGTCTAGGGGTGTATTTCTAGTTAATAGAAATGAATTTCTATTCAAAATACCTGTAATTCATTCAGTGATAGCCTGCATGAAAAGTATTCATTTCAAAAATAAGATATAAGTGAAATCTGTCAGATGCACTGATTACACTCAGAAGTCTTCTGAAATATAAAAGTATTTAAATTCATTGTATGACAATCTGCAAAGATAACTTAATAACATATATAAAGACTTATCTTTTTCTTTTCCTTCTTTTCTTCTTTCTTTCTTCTTCTTATCACAATAATACACTGCAAAGATCATTCTCAGCTCACTCTATTCTTCTTCATCTCTCAGCATGATGAGTATTCTGTCAGTTACAATAGAAAGCTTTTAACTAGAAAAGTTCTACAGGGTAATCAACTGCTCCACCACGAACTCGCTCGATTTTTTGAATAAGAACCCGCCGATAGATCCATCAAAAAGCCCTCGATCATACAAGCATTTTGACCCCATCGCTGACCGCATACCCTGTGTGGTGGTGGAGTTATCCAGCCAAACATGAACCAGACATTGTTTGAAACTCCTGTGTGGGATTATCCCCTGTTCTCCCCTATCACACCACAACCCCGGGCTAAATTGCCATACAAATTGTAAGGTGAAAAGACCTAGTCATATGCATCAATCTTCTTGATTTTGGAAGATCCCTGATCTGTAATTGTGAAGATATCTGAGAAGTGACATCTGTAAAAACCCTGTTCATCTTTAATATTTTAAAACATCAACATCAAGTCTCATTCTCATACTGCTCTTTTCAATCTGGCTCATCTCTGGCAGAAAAATACAAAAAGATATCTCAGCAATAATATCAAGTATATAATTAATAAACACTTCTGAAGTGCAATCTCTGTAAATACTCTATCTGTCTTCAGTGTATCTAGACATTAATATCAAGTCTCACTCTTGTATCACTTCACTCAATCTGACTCATTTTCAGCAGAATAATACAAAAAGATACCTTGATAACTGTACTCAATATATAATCAGCAGACAACAAGTCAACAGAACAAGTCAACAGTATGTTAACAACTATAAATTCAGTATATCTCAAGATCTGACTGAGTCTTTGATTTCTGCACAGTGAGATATATTAAATCTAGTTTTAATATCTCAATATTCAATAGATTCTGTAAGAGATTGAGAATAGCAAGACTAGATTTCTATTGAATTTGAGAATTAACTCTATATTGATATAATCATTGACAAAGTCTTCTATTTTGAGATATAAATAACCAGTTTCTCTACATTCTGCTGACAATATTTATATTATTATATAGAAATAGACTTATATTCTCTATAATATCAAGACTCTGAAGAGAGAAAGTCTTGATAGAGAGTATACAGTAGTACATATCTTAGTAGTTTCTATCTCATTCTTCTGCAGCAGTTAATGCAAAAAAAAGATCTTAGAAATAGTTTTTTACTTCTCTTGAAAAAGTAAGATGTTTTTCTCTGAATTTTATACAATATTTTTACACAGAATTAAAAACAGAGTTATTTTCTGTCATAATTTTATATTCTTTTATATAAGAATTACTTTTTCAGTGACTGAAGAGCTTTTATTAATACTTAATTATCTTTTACACTCTTTATTAACTGATTTGAGTTGCACACTTATTATGTGAGGAGAATTAAATGATTTAGAATAAAATTGAATAGTTTTAATCAATTTCTCTGCAAAAAATTGACTTATTTTTTATCAGTTTTTCTCTTAAAAACTGTTATATTATCTGATTTATTATTAATTGATATCATAATTTTTCTCACTGTATTCTAAGAAAGAGTTTGTAAAGATTTTATTAATTTATCTTAAAAATCAATTTTAGTTTATCAGATTCTCTTCAAAAATCTAACCTAGTTACTGAACTAGTGTGAAAGAAAATCAGATATTTTATATATAAAAGTCTTTCATTCTTCTTTTGAAACAGTCTGATCAACTTTTCAATTGAAAATAGACTAATAAATCTCTCAACTGAAACAGTCTGATCAACTTTTCATTTGAAAATATATTAATAAATCTCTCAATTGAAATAATCTGATTAACTTCTCATTTGAAAATAGATTAATAAATCTCTCAATTGAAACAGTCTGATCAACTTTTCATTTAGTGAGTAAAATGAGTTCAAGAGTACACTCAGTTAATGTGAAAAAAGATGTTTTCTCAGATACTGTTCTTGAGATTGAAATTCTAAAGAGAAGAAAGAAGAAAGAAATAGAGAAACAACAAGTTCTTAAAATACAGAAACTGAAAAAAGTAAGCAAAATTCTTGAAAAACAGTATCTGAGTGAGAAGAATAAAGAAGTTCTGTTAATTCTTCATACTCAGACTAGACAACTACAAGAGATGATCAAGTTCAAACTTGGAATTTCAAATATAATTTATAAAACATTGAAATCTTCTAGTACAGTTACTGACTCTTTTTCATCTTCTTCTTCTTCATCTTCTTTTTCAAATCAGAAGAAAACATATACTCAAGTAGCAGAATCTACTGTCTCTAAACCTGCTAGTTCAAAACCTGCTCAAAATTCTGAGAAAACTGAGAAGAATATTACTCAGATCTCTGTTCATAGAAAGAAAAAAAAAGAAATACAGAAAGAGAAGAGCTTTCAAATCTTCAGAAATAGAAGACTTATTCTCAAAGTCTCAAATCAGAAGATCTTACAAAAAAACAAGCTAAACTCAAATCTCATTTTCAGAATTAGAAATGAAATTAATCAGCAGTTCTTTTCTCAGTTAATAACTGATATTGAAGTTCAAAAATCAGTTATAGCTTCAATTGAGCTATCTTTTTTTAGAAATTCTATTATTCTGACTACAATGTCTGAATTCAGTGCAGAATTTATTATTCAGAATAAGAATCTCTGAAAATCAGTAATAGAATCTCTACTGAATACAATAATTCTATCTAAGAGAGATGAAAAATGAGACAAATTCATTCTTTATAATATTTCAGTTGAAATTTTTGACTGTGAGAAAGAAATGCTACTTCTCAAAAATGAATTAGAAGTATATAATTCTATTCAACTGAGAAAAGAGTCTGTATAACTTAATTCAATTAAGTTCAGACAGAGTAGAAGAAATGTCTCTGTTCTAGTGTATATAAAGACACTTAAATAATCAAGAATCTCTGAAGTAAGAGTAGCAGATTTGAAAATGAGAGTTCATGAATACAAAGACTTAAGAATAAATCTCAAAGCTCAAACATAGTGTTCAAACTGTCAAAGATATGAACACTTTACAATCTCTTGTTTCAGAGACTCAAAATGTGCATTCTATACTAGAGATCACAAAACTAGTGAGTATAAATATGAAACATGCTTAAAAAGAGATGAAATGTGTTAATATACTCTGCTTAAGTGCTTCAATTGGAAAGAAAAATATGTGTCTAGCTCAAAAGAATATGTATTTACTTCAAGAACTCAGAAGAACTGAAGAAAAGATGAAGCTTAAAGTGAATCTAAAACTGAAGAGAAAAGTCAAGCTAGTAAATCTATAACTATAAGCTTAAAAAGAAGAAACTCTCAACTGTCTAGATCTTCAAACTTCAATTCTTCAGCTAAATATAAATAGAATTTAAATTCTTAAACATCTGTTAAGATTAGAGAATTGAGAAATGACTCTGATGATAAACTAGATAGAATGTAAGCAGTTGAGATTTCTGTTTTTTAAAATAGTTATAATTTACTATCTGATGATAGTGATTAAATTCTACTCTATCTTCATTCTCTTTTAGTATGAATGTACAACAAAAATAATAAAAAAAGTTTAAAAACTCTTTAAAAATCACATTTATTTAAAACAATCTGAATAGAAACTTAAATTGCATTTATTCTTATCTTCAGATTGTATTTCAATAAAAAGTTGACTTTGTACTTCTTCAAGAATCAAACTTTGATACTGAGTGAAAGTATATTATTTCTCATTCAAGCTATTACTGCTTTCTTTCTGAAAAATCTGAGATAAAATCAAGAGTAGTAATCTATGAGAGAAAAAGATCAAGATATTAATTTAATCTGAGATTTGATATCATATCTGACTCTGATATTCTAGTGAGTGATATTATAGATAAAGATAATAAGTTTGATACTATTCAACTTATAAATATCTATAATAAAAAGTCATTGAAAGAAAACAACAATATCTGAATAATTGACAGAGAATTTTTGAATATAACTCTCTTAAAAAACTCTATAATTGCAGAAGACTTCAATACACATCATTTCTAATAAAACTCAGAGTGCATAAGAGCAGTAAGAGCAGATAAACTGATTAAATGAACTTTTGAGTATTTAATAGATTTAGTTAACAAGTCTGATTAATAAACATTCTTTAGAAAAGACATGAAACAGAAATCTATCATAGATCTAACTTTCATATCACAAAATCTAATTGAAAAAAGACTTATAAACTGATTTATTAATTCAAATAAAACCTCAGAAGCAGATCATGAGATCATTCAATTTAATATTGAACTGAGTGAAAAATAAAGAAGTGAAAATCCTCTTCTCTCTAATCAGTATAACTTTGAAAAAGCTGATTGAAAAGAAGTATATTATTTCTCATCAAGCTATACTGCTTTCTTTCTGAAAAATCTGAGATAAAATCAAGAGTAGTAATCTATGAGAGAAAAAGATCAAGATATTAATTTAATCTGAGATTTGATATCATATCTGACTCTGATATTCTAGTGAGTGATATTATAGATAAAGATAATAAGTTTGATACTATTCAACTTATAAATATCTATAATAAAAAGTCATTGAAAGAAAACAACAATATCTGAATAATTGACAGAGAATTTTTGAATATAACTCTCTTAAAAAACTCTATAATTGCAGAAGACTTCAATACACATCATTTCTAATAAAACTCAGAGTGCATAAGAGCAGTAAGAGCAGATAAACTGATTAAATGAACTTTTGAGTATTTAATAGATTTAGTTAACAAGTCTGATTAATAAACATTCTTTAGAAAAGACATGAAACAGAAATCTATCATAGATCTAACTTTCATATCACAAAATCTAATTGAAAAAAGACTTATAAACTGATTTATTAATTCAAATAAAACCTCAGAAGCAGATCATGAGATCATTCAATTTAATATTGAACTGAGTGAAAAATAAAGAAGTGAAAATCCTCTTCTCTCTAATCAGTATAACTTTGAAAAAGCTGATTGAAAAGCAGTTAAAGAAAGAGTAAAACAGCTGAAATCTGAAAGACAGAGTGAGCTCTATCGAAATTAAAGTCAAGATATCTCAAATGAAATGCTTAAGAATAGAGTAAAGCTGATTACATCTATTCTTCTAATAAGTATTGAAGAAAATATTTCAAAGAAAAAGTCTTCTGAGTATTTCAAACCTTGATGAAATAAGAATATCACTTCTAAAAGAAAGCAATTAGTCACTGCTAAGAGAGATTGAAAGAACAACTTAATATCTAATAAAGAGTTCAAAGCTATTCAAAATGAATATTTTTTAGATATTAAAAAAGTCAAAACAGATTACTGAAACAAATTTCTTGAAGAAGTATAAGAAAAAGAAGTTTTTAAAGTCTTTAACTATATTAAAACAAGAAGTATAGTAAAGCTTTTAACCTTAGAATATGAATTTCAGAATGAATTATATACAGCAAACTCATTTAAGAAAAAATGTCAAGCTTTTATAAGAATTCTCTTTCAAAACTCATCATATTTAGAAGAGAAGAATATGTCATTTCATGAATATATTGATGAAAATAACTGGAAATGATCTGAGCTTACATGTGATGAACTAGATTCAGCAATATTCTTAAGTTCAATTAAAACTGCTACAGAGTCTGATTCAATTAATTACTTAATTATTCAAAACATATATTTCTATATAAAGAATGAATATTTTGAACTCTTTTTAAATCTCTTAAAAAATGATTATTACTCTGAATACTGAAGAGAAGCTACTGAAGTAATCCTTATAAAATTTAATAGAAAAGTTTTAATTTCTAAGTTATATAGAGTAATATCTCTGTTGAACTATTTGAGAAAAATTCTAGAAAAGATAATAGCTACTAGATTATCTTTTATAAACTCTATTAGTGATTCTCTTCTATTTAATGAACAAATGAGAGATAGAAAACAATATTCTGCAATTAATACTGTTCTCTCAGTTATTTATAATATTCAAGTAGCAAAGCATGAAGACCTGATCTCGCCCCGCTGGCCGAATGGTTAATGCGGCCACCCGGTAGTGCCTTGGCGTGGGAAACCAAGGCGCGTGGGTTCTAAACCCGCAGGGGATACATTAAATCCAGAACTCAAGCACCTCAGGTTTCTAATAAATACAGAGGTGTACAAATCACTTCAATGAATCACTCTATGTTCCTGGGCTGGGAAGTTATTATCGCATGTATCTAATTGTCACTTCTTTGTATTTTCCTATGTTCTTGTTATCTTGGCGTGGTCTCAACACCTGTATTTCCTCCTGTATAACCAACACTTGATCTGTATTTAACATCACGCAAGGACTCATCATAAGCTCCGCTTGCATATGAGTATAATGGAAGAATAATAATAATAAGAATAATAATAAAGACCTGATCTCAACTGCAGTTTTTATTGATATAAAAGATACATTTAATCATGTTTCAAAGTCTAAGATAATTCAAACTTTGAAGATGTTAAAACTGTCACTTTCTCTAATAAAATGAGTTAATTGTTCCATGTCTAAAAGAATTATACAACTATTCTTTGATGAAAGAAAATAAGATAAAACTGAGATAAAAATAGAAGTATTACAAGAATCTTTAATCTCATCTGTTTTATTTGCAATATACACTGCATATCTATTCAAGAATACAGAGATGAAAATAGTGAGATCTTCAAGTTATATAGATGATATTAATCTACTCTACAGTTCAAAGACAATTAAAGAGAATTTAAAAGTGATTGAGAAAGCAGTAAAGAAAATCTTTGTTAGAGCAGATATTAATCTAATTCAATTTAATATAAGTAAAACTGAGTTAATTGACTTTTTTCCTAGATTTAATGAGAAAGAACTAAGTCTAACTCTTTTGAATAAAGAGATTAAACCCAGTTTGAATATCAAATAACTAGAAGTATGATTAAACTCTAAGTTGAATTTTAAATATTATATTCAATAAAGAATTATCAAGACAGAGAGACTACTGAATAGTATAATCAGACTATTAAACACTGAGAGAGGTCTATTCTTTCAGACTATGAGACAGTTATACATAGTCTGTATTTTCTCAGTAGCTGATTATAAAGTTCAAGTTTGATGAAATAATCAAGATAACTTCACTGAACTCTTTCAAAGTCTATAAAACAGAGCTTTGAGAAGAATTCTGAGAGTATTCAAATCATCTTCTATTAAAGCAATGGAAATTAAAGCTTCAATTTTATCTTCTGCTATTCAATTTAAAAAGGCCTGTATGAACTATGCTCTGAGAGTCATGAAGATGAGCTTAAATCATATAATCAGAGAAAGAATCTCTTCTTCATTTTTATCAGTTAACTCAGGAAATGAACTGGATTGAAATAGATTTCTTGATTAAAATGAGAATAATGCTTTAAAGAAAATGCCCTCTCAACTGTATAGACTATGTTCACTTATTAAGAATCAATTTTCTTCATTAAATATTGAGAAAATTGATCATGAGAAGATATCTCTCTGAAGAGAAAAGCTTGAATCTCTCATAGACTTATAAATAAGTGAACTATCTAAAGAGAGAGAATATGAACAGCATTTGAAAAGAATCTCTATCATC